GGTATAGGGGAGGAAATGTTTTCCTCTACCCTTTTTAGGTTCTTTTGGCTCATCTATCAATTAAGCTGACATAAAACAGATTAGCAGGAGAAAAATTTTAATTTCCTGTGTACTAGAGCCTCACAGAGATGTGAGAGTTGCCAAGAAGTCAGGCAGTTGAGGCCTGTCTGCCATTCTGAGCTAAAGAGAAGGGGGTGGGGCTGTGGGGCTTCAAAGAGAAGGAAGTTAAAGCACAAGAAGATGGGAAGAGCCAATGTTTGGGAAACAAATGTTTGTCGCAGCATGCAGAGACAGTAGGACGCGGGGAGGAAGCAACAGGCCCTGAGCCCCGGCTTACCACACCTCATCACCCAGACTCCGCAGCTGGCTGTGGCAGCAGCTCTCTTCCTGGACTAGGCCTCCTATCTAAATTCTTAGAAGCAGATAAGCGGGAGGTAAAACCTGAGTCTTTTGGGCTTTGATTGTCTTCGGCTGCAAATAACCCACAGGTCAAAGTGGCACATTTGCGAGACGCTCATTCTGAAGCGCCGCAAGGATGTCACACACATGGTGCTGTGAAGCCCAAATGTGGCCACCAACATAAGCACGTAGCTGCACAATACGCAAGCTTCCAAAACCACCTGCGCCTGCCGTCCTTCCTCCAGCCTGCTCTGAGCGCTGGGCCCTCGCCGGGCAACCCCCACACTGTCCCGTCCTCGGGACATCCTCTCACTGCCCACGATCCACAGCCTCCCTCTCGAGGCAGAGGCATCCCATGTCTAGGAACAAGCCCTCGGTGCTGCAAGACACCCCAAGACATCTCATTCCTCCCATCTTCATGAAAGAAAATCGATAACACTGAAAGAAAAAGGCCTCTTTGATGTTTGCAAAGAGAGTCAAAATATCTCCCAGGGCCAATATCTAATGATCCGGAATCGGTTGGTTTTTTTGGGTTTTGTTTTGTTTTGTTTTGTTTTTTGTTTTTCCCATGAGACAAAAGAAGGAGGAGAAGGAGAAAAGGAAGAAGGAGAAAAAACAAAATATTCTCTTTTCATACATTCCACAACCCCATGTCTACAGTGGCTGGCTTATAAAAAGAAACTTAAGTGGTTGTTTTTTCTGTGACACCAGTGGGGTTTGCATGAGATCAGAATCCAAGTTTTTAGAGTATCTGAATCTCAGGAGGACCCTGTATTTGAGGAGAATCTCCAGAGGCCTCACATCTCTGCTCTAGGTGGCATTTGCCTGCTCTCATTCCGGGTTAATGGACTGTTTCATGCTCTTTATCTTTAAGACCTAAAATAATTTCTCCTGCCTGAACCGAGGAATGCGTTGGGCTGGCCCCTCTGCAGTCACAGGATCAAAAGCATTTTTCTTAAATCATTTTTTAAAATTCTTATTAAACATGTCACGAGGGAAAGTGAGCAAAATTACTCCTGCTTTTTCGCCCTTAGTCTTTGTAACAGCATCATTGTCCTGGGGGCCAGGGAGAGGGGATGACAGGCAAATTGTCTCTTTTTCCTTTAAAAAAACACACACACACACATAAAAAAAAACACAACAATCTGAAATAAGAACATCTAAGTAGTTCTCAGTATGAAAGCCTTTTTCATATTTGCAAAAGTTATGTCATTTCAAGATTTCTTCCCAAAAAAGTCACTTTCCTGGTTGGTGCGGGTACTTTGGGACTGCCTATGCCGTCAACCTTCTGAGTCCTACAGCAGGGCTCCTGCAGACACGGGGTGCCCTCACCCCCTCACCCCTCTGTGCCTCCACGGCCCACACATCTTTCAGGAGCGCTTGGGAAGCCGGCGGGCTCAGGCTCCTCGCCACTTCTGCACCTTTGGGGTTCTGACTTCTTGCACGGGCCCCACCCGGGGGTAACACTGCAGGAGGCCATGTAGTCCTCATTCAAAGGATGGGAAGCAAAAGCAAAAAACAAAAACAAAGACAAAAAAAAAAAAAAAACGATGGGAAGCCAACAGGGTCCTGACAAGCCGACCCCTGGATTTTACACCTGCCCCCAGAAGCGTGGAACCGTGGCATCTCTGATGTGGGAATCCATCTCCTCTTGATTTGCAAGCAAAGCAAGAGGAAAACCCATCTCCAGTGCAGGGACATGAAACATTTATCCCCACCCGGGGGCTAGGCATTCAGGGGACAGGCAGGAAGACTCTGCAGCAGTGGTCGCCCAGGATGGACACCAGTGGGTGACAGCCGCAGGCACTTTGTCTTGGTGGCTTCATTGCAGAAAGCTTTTGACGGCAGCCCTTCTTCGGGGGCTGTTTGCCATTTGCTCTCACAGGGCAGACTGAGCCTGCAGAACGAGAACCCCAGGAGGCTCTGGTGGGAAGGGGATTTCAGAATCCGACAGACACCTGGGTTCATATTGGGCTCCACTTGTAACTCTCTGGGTGACCTAGGACGTGTGTCCAAATCTCTGCTCCCTTGTCTAATCCACCAGAATAATTGACACCCCAGGTCTCCGGAGAAAACAGGACTCTGCTGGCCGAGGTCAGCTCGAGAGGGTGGGCAGGACCCCTTACGGAGGGTGGGCAGTATGAAGGAGCCCCACAGGGCCTGCCCGTACACCCGAATCTAAGCACAGCCCTGGAGGAGCGAGGGGAGAGCTAGCCCAGGAGAACAGGACTGTAGAGCAGGGGCTGCTCAGGGCAGCCAGTCGTCATGGGCCACAGCTACATCGTGGTCAGGCTCCAAAGCAGGAGAGGGCAGAGAAAAAACTCCCTGGCCTCTCTCTGCTCTTCCTTCTTCTTTTGCTCATGCCTCCCAACCAGAAACCATCTGGCAAGGGGGCCTGGGAGCTCCAGGCCATGGGGTGGGCAGACGTGGATGGGGAGAGAATGGATGGGGAGAGCAGGGGTAGGGGTAGAAAATTCAACCTATCCAGCACATTAACCTTATGTAGTCTTGTGATAAGAACCAAAAATGATGTATGTGAAATGCTTAGCATGTAGCCTAACATTTCTCATTATTCCTGTTCCAGGTAGGGTCTTTAATGCAGCATATGTCCTGCTTTATCTTCACACAAAGAGCCCCTGAAAACCCCGTAGGTGCCCAGTGCACACTCTGACTTGTGGAAATAGGAGCATTAAGATGACACTGAGACTGCCCTCGGGGGGAGGAGACATGGACATTGATGCCCACAAGACAAGAAGATAGAAAGTGACAGGAGTCACCAAAGTGACTCTGCTTCCCAGCAGCAAGCTCCTCTAAGTCTGAAGCCACAGCTTCTGGTCCTCTTGCTTTCATTTTAATACTTTGAAAAGCTTTTTCTTTTTCCCATAAGAGTCTAATTAGAATACAGGCATATAGTAGAAAACCCAGAACTTTCAGGGACGTGTAAGGAAGCATAAAAAAATTACCCCTCTCTCCTCCCCGAAGATAAGCACTGTTACGTGTTTATGAATCCCCCTCCTGTGCATTCTGCTTCATAAAGTTGGACTCATGTTAGATATGCAGTTTTGTGTCCTGGTTGTTGTTTGGGGTTTTATTTTTCCACTTCTTTCATAAAGATTGAAATTGCTCCAAAAATATCTTTTAATGACTTCATAAGAGTAAATCACATGGTAGGGAATACAAACTCGGAATCAGCAGACTAAAGTCTAATTGCAGTTTCCCCAGTTCTTAGCTGCATGACAATGGACAAGTTATTTAACTTTCCCCAGCATCAGCTTCTGCATTTGTGAAATGATGCAGGGCGAGGATGAAGTGGGCGTCCTACAAAATTGTTGTACAGAGAAATGAGATAATATGTGACACTGTTAGCTCAGTGTCTGGGGACACGGTAAAAAGCTAAATGGTGGTTCTTATAATTGTCCTGATTAGTCCATAGTCATTCTTCAACTGGTGACTATCTCAGGTGTTTCTGATTTATTTTCAGTTAATTCTGTTATGACACTTTTGAACTTAAATCTCTTTCCATACTTCAACTTTTTCCTTAGGGTGTATAAACCTATGGTCCCAGGTATAAACACTTAGAAGTTCAAGTTCATTCGTTTCGGAATGAGGTGGGGTAATTTCGAGAAGAGCCGCATAGCTGGCAGGTGCGACGATGCAGGCAAGTCAAGGCCACTTTAGGAGCATAGCTATAGGCCCAGGCTAAGAGACAGACCCTGCGATGTGCTTGAACAAGTCCCTTCCCTCCTTGGGTGCCAGCTTTCTTATTTATTGTACAGGGGTGATGACAATACCCACCCCTTAGCATTGTTGTGGTGAGTGAATGAGAGGATGTAGTGGAAAATGTTGAACAATACCTGTGTAATAGTAAGCGATTTGCTTTTATGAATTAAATATAGACTGTATTTAGGTAAAGAAGTGTAGAACAAGTTACCCTCTCCTAAAAAACCCAGTAGAAGGACATTCGGAACATTTGACAAGATGAAAACATTTTAGGCCCAAGTGCTAGAACTAGAGTTATCTTATTTCCATCCGGAAATGTGCATGTTGAACCCCACAGAGCATAGGGCCCAGAAGCTGCCCCAGAACATAGTGATGCGGTCATTAGGGCATACGCTTCTTAACTAGAGCTCTGGCCACCCCAAAACTGACCCCATCGACCAGAGGCAAAAGTGGAAAATGGCAACACATTCCCTTGCCTTTATCAGGCACCTCAAAGCGATAATATCTTTCAATTTATGAAAGGAGACTCTTGCCCAATATATGGAATTGTCCAACAGGATTGCATCCAGAAAGGGGTGAGAATGCTAGCTACACCATATTTCTATACTGTCTTCTGTTAGATTATACTTATTACTATATCATAGACACACCAGACATCCTCTGTAAACATTTAGTAAATACAGAGAAGGAAAAAGAAAAAAAACCCAAAGCATTTATAATCCCCTTGCCCAGGAACAACAACAACAACAAAAAAGCTGGTATCTTTTATCTAGACTTTCTCTCTGCATTTTCAGATATTAAAAATATGAAGTTTTTAATTTTAAAGATCCTCTATAAATTCTCTTTCTCTCTCCCTCTCCCCCTCCATCTTCTCTCTTTAGTGTATCATTACCAGTTCAAGATCCAGTTCATCAACCAACTTGAGAAACCAGTAGAACCAACTTTTACCATGACACTCCTTGGAACAAAAGAGGAAAACCAGAAAATTACCATCACTCTGTGAGTATAAGATGCAACCCTATCAGTGGTGATGACGTGCTACTTCTTCTCACAGGGTCTAAATGGACCCCCTACTTTGCAAGGGCCAGGCCAGACCCAGGTTACTCTTCTCGGCCCCAAACACCTGTCAGACGGGATGTCCGCCCCAGGCCCAGTGCCTTCTCATCCCTCCTCAGCCTCACCCTGCCCCACATTGCTTTATGGTAAGATTATCTGGGTTTTCGATGGGTTAACTGTGATGTGAGCTGAGCAGAGAGGGAAGCCAGAGGTGGCAAATTCCCACCACAGTGTGGGAAGAAGAGGCAGGCAGGGAGGAGTAGTAAGGGCTGAAGCAGGTGTCCACAGGACGGCTCTGAGCTCCTTTCTAGTGAGTTCTGAACATCGTAACCCAGAAATAAAACTGGTTTCAACTTGGCACAAATCTCCCATCTTGGCCAGCCTGCACTGGCAGCCCTGCCCGTCTATCCTCTGCCCTGCTACACACCTGCCCAAACGTGAGCCGGGGCCTCATGCCCCCCTTGAGGATTCCCCATCTTCACTGACCAGCAAAAGGTTTTTTCTCAGCATCTCAACCCTCACCGTGGGCTCTTCCTTGGAAGTGACACTAGCCCTCCACCCGCCCCAGGGACAGTCCTCAACCTCCGGAAGATCTCCCCCAGCTTTGGATTTATGATCATCACACAGATTCCGTCATGCAACAAGTATTAATCAGCACTCTGCCTCAGAGGTAGAGGGGACCCTAGCCCTAGGGTGCCCACAGCCTCACAGGGCAGATGGATCCCTAAACAATTCTTTACAACCTTCTACAGGAAGAGCTCTGATGAACCATGCAGAGGAACCCTCCATCCACCTGTCTCACCCTAAATCCAGTGTTACCTTTGCACTGTCCCAGACCTCTCCTGAGCAATAAATAGCTCATTGCTCAGTCCGTGCTGGGACATGATAATGTCTTGGAGACTAGTGAGTAAACCTGCTAATGGTACCTGGGAATCTGCATTTAAATCGTGTCCCAAATTGGTGCATCCCTTAACATGTGGTTTTCTATTACTGTTATACATTGTCGTTTCCATTTATATGGGGAGAAAAAAGCATGAGTGGGGAGAGATGAGAGCGGGGTGCAGCTCTACTGTGCTAATCAAACCTCCAGGGAGCTGAACTGCCCAGAGGTCATTGCCAAAGCCCCACTGTCTTCTCAGGGGCAGTTTTCCTGATTTGTTAATGTTGAAGCGAGGAAGCCTGAGCTAAACAGAATTACCAGAATCATTATGGCAAAACTCTCAGAGCCCTTTAAATATGCAAACCCAGAAAGACATGGTTTCCCCTATATTAATAGTCTGTCCCACACCAGTTTGGGAAATGCAGCAGAAAAGACCTTCCCAAGTCATCGGGCAAACCCAACACAGCCTAAATGTGTCCAACATGTCTTTGCTGTCACATATAAACTAGGTCTGATTTCCTTTGTATCTTCAAGGGATGAAGAAATTACTAGTAATAAAACCTATTCCTTTCTTATCACACTGGATTTGGATATTGGTGAGCTGGTCATGATCAAGTTCAAGTGGGAAAATGGCGCAGTATGGACCAATGTCTGGAACACGGTCCAAACCATCATCCCATGGAGCAGGGGGCCCCTCTACTCAGGCCTTGTTGTAAACACCATCAAAGTCAAAGCAGGAGAAACCCAACAACGGTGAGTACTGACTCATCCTCCCCCGACACCTATCAGGCATCTTCATGGGCCGGCACCTCCACAATTAACACCTACATTTATATCATAAAGTGGGCATTATCGTGTCCTAATGATGGCATACAGATGCTCAAACAGGTGAAATGACCATCCCGAGTTCACACAGCCACAGATGGAAGGACCAGGACTGGCACCCAGTCTCATGACCCCCAGTCTAACCTCTCCCCCCTGCCTGTGGTTCAGGGCTACCTACCTTGGAGTTTGAGAACCGCCCCATTGGCCCAGGGCTTTTCAAACTCCAGCATGCAGGTGTGAATCCCCAGGAGATGTTTGTTGGTGCTGCAGTCCAAGGACCGCACTTTGAGGGACAAGGACCAAGATGTGACATTTCTTTTTTATTACCCAGAGAAATGCTTTTAACAGATCACAATCTCAAAACGGCATTCTGCGATGGCGCCTTTCAAATCCTCGAGTGCCAAAGAGTCACTGGGGAGCTTATTAAAGACATAGGATTCTTGAAACCACCTGCAGAGCTTCTGACTCCCAGTGATTTGTGAGGGGACCCAGGACACACGTTTGCTAATAAAAGCCCTAAGAAATTCTGGTGTGAGCCAATGGAGTAGCCTTAAAAAGCTCTGCTCTGTGTGATTTAACAGCTCCCTTGGCCCCAAAGTCCCCAGGGGACACTACAGGGTTGGGGACAGAGTTGGACACAAAAGAAAGAGAGGGTGGTCCAGCTGCCCCTTCAGTCCTGTCAGCAGAGGAAAGGGATGCCCAACATATTTTGCCATGGCAACTAGGCTTTTCTATAGTTCCACAGTTCTCCATGAAAGGAGAAATCTGTCCTTCCCCAGAGCCTTCCTCCTCCTTCTTCCCTTGTATTCAGGGAACTCGTCTCTCCTCTTCCACCTTCCTTTGCTGGGAAGCCCATTCTCTCTTTGGCTTGTCCCCAGTAGAGACGGAAAGCAGCAAGCCTCTCCCCTCTGAACCACACTCCTCCCTGGAGTGTGGAGCCGTGAAGCACGGGCTCCAGGGCCGGGAGCAGGCCCACGGCAGATTTATGCCCCCGGCTCCCCGATCAACAGCGCTCTGAGATTTTATCTCCCTGGGATACAAAATCCTGGCAATTACTAAGAGCGTACTCTGCAGCCTGCCAACAGATTTCTCCACATGATCAATTTGAGAAAATTAAACTGCTTCTCTCTTCTACACTTAGCTATTCTTGCATGACTTTCTGGCCCTTTCAAAGAGCTCTCCTTCTGAAAGCCAGCCCTCCCCGCATTCTCTCAGCTAGAGGGTAATTCTTCAGTTCCAGTGGCTGTTCATCATGACAATTCTCTGTGACTTGACCTGAAAGGCTGTAGAAAACACACTACAACCTTCTCACGGGCACTTACCCATGTGGTTCTGAAGAAGGAAAGAGCAGAGGGAAGGGAATGGTGCTTCCAGAGCTCCCACTGCATGGTGGCCATGGAACCGGGTCTAGAATATTCATCTCCGGTAGTCTTTGCAATGATGCTCTGAAATGGGTAGTCTTGGCTCTACAGATTAGGAAACTGGGGCTCACACAAATTACACAACTTGAGGGGCATTGCTGACAACTGTCCAAGCCCAGATCTGACTCAGGATTTGTCTAATTCATTGCCTATTTGCTGCCCATGCAGTGTTTCCAACAGTTCCTTCCTCCATTAATCTTGGCCCCATGAATCTGACTCTCCTTAGTCTAAACCAGCAGAGTTGCAATGCTGGATATTAATATATATGTGCATCAAACCCTTCCTCAGAGCTAAAGGAGGGACACACTGAGAAAAGAGGAGGGATTGTGGGACCTATAGTTTTTTAAGTTGCAAGTACTCAATGGCTCCTGTGGGTCTTCACAGCATGAAGTACCATTGGGGGGATACCAAAAAAAAAAAATCTGAGTGTGGCCCTTGGCATAAACAAACTTCAGGACCTGATTAGGAAAATCAGATGCATTAATTTTACTAATAACACGCTCCATCCCGGTGCTTCTCAAACCTTAATATGCACAGGGGTCATCTGGGAATCACGTTAAAATGCAATTAAAATGTAGATTGGGGTCGGGGGGCTGACGTTCTGCACCTCTAACAAACTCCCAGGCGCTGCTGCTGGCACTCAAGTTGGGCCAAGTTGTTCACGTGGCATAAGTGAAGGTCTAGTATTGCATGAGCTAGGAAGCCTGAAGAAAGACATCAGTTCAACGGTGCTGTGCTACATCAGGCTTTAGAGGGGGCCAGGAGCATTCCCAGAGGGACAGGCAGCAAGCAAAGCAATATGGTAGGTGGAATTCGAGGACCTGTGTCTGCCAGTCTTAAGCTCAAACTCCACTTGCTGCTCACCACCTGTATAGCCTCAGACAATAATTGCACCTTTCAGAGACTCAGTTCTTTAGTGATAAATGGAATATATAAATGTATCTCATAAGACTATTAACAAACTACCAATTTTTGAGTACCCCTACCAATCATAATCCCAGAGCCAGGATGCAAACATTCAACCTCATACTCTTACTCTCTCTGCTAACTACAGGGGACAAAAAAAAAAGGTTAAATAACTCACTCTGTGACTCCACAGGAGGAATTCAATGAGAGGTGATTTTCTCTTTCAAAGGCACAAAGTCAGGGGTGAGAGGGCCTATTGTGGTTGAAGAGACAGGACAGCAAACATTGGTTCTACAGCAGGACATAAAAAACGATCAGCTAAACATAATGAGAAAGTGTTCAATCTCCACAGTAATCATATAAATGCAAAACAAAAATCAATGCAATTATCATTGGCCACTTATTAGTTTGGCAGGAATTAAAAAACAGACAACATCCAGAGTTGGTAAAGGTGTGGAGAAACAGGCATTCTCATCTGCTGTTTGTGAGAGTGCAAATTAGGGAGCTTCTGCAGAATTTCATTCAATGACTAAGATTTGGTGAGCACCTACCTTATACCAGGCACCGTTGTAGGCACCAGGTACATAGCAGTGAACAGAATAGACAAAACCCTTGGTCTCATGGAGCTTATATTATCAAAGTTTTAATGTAAAAAATAACCAGTATTTTAACTCTAGGTGTCTATCCTGGAGAAATACTCAAAATATCCACCAAAGGTAAACATGTACAAAAATGTTTGTGGCAGTACTATCTGTCAATAGTAAACCATTGGGAAAACCTCAATGCCCTTAATTTTCATCAGAGGAAAATGGCTCTAATGCACTGCGGTACATCCATACAATGGAATGTAGTGCAGGAGGTGAAAAAGAATGAACCAGACTCAGGGCACCTGAGTGGCTCAGTCAGTTAACCATCTGCCTTCTGCTCAGGTCATGATCCCAGAGTCCTGGGATCAAGCTCCCATGTCATGCTTACTGCTCAGTGGGGAGTCTGCTTCTCCCTCTCCCTCTGCCTGCAACTCCCTCTGCTTATGTTCTCTCTCTGTCAAATAAATAAATGAAATCTTTTTTAAAAATGAAACAGATTTATATGTAGTAAGATGAACAAGTCTCCAGGTCCACTGATGACAATGAATAATTTCCAAAAAAAATGCATATGTTGTAATTCCACTTCTATTAAAAATTCTTTATGTTTTCATATGAACATCAGATATGTGTGTAAATGCACAGAAATAGGCCTGGAGATGGAGCACCTGGGTGGCTCGGTCAGCTAAGCATCTGACTTATGATTTTGGCTCAGGTCATGATCTCAGGTTGTGAGATCGAGCCCCGTGTGGAACTCTGTGCTTAATGGGGAGTCTGCTTAAGATTCTCTTGCTCCCCCTCCCTCTGACCCTCCCTCTCACTCTCTCTCTCTCTATAATAAATAAATAAATCTATAGAAAGGGAGAAAAAAAGAAAAGAAGAAAGAAAAAAAGGAATTGGTCTGGAGAGACATAAACCAAACCAGGAAAGTAGAGGGGAATGATATTGGTGAACGGTGATGGCAAAAAGGAACTTTGATATTGGACTTCATTTATTTGCATTTGAATTTTTCACAACTGCATTCACAAATTATTCATACCACATTTTAAACTTTAGTTTTAATGAGATATAATTGACAAATAAAATTATGATATTTAAAGTGTACATCATTGTGATTTGATATACATATACATGCGAAAGGATCCCCCCAATCAGGTTAACTAGCACATCTATCGCCTCACACATATATAATTACAGTGCTACCAACTACAGTCACCCTGTTTTACATTAGATCCTCAGACCTTATTCATCTTATAGCTGAAAGTTTGTATACTTTTGCCAATCTCTCTATCTTCCCCTCCCCTAGGCCCTGGGAACCACTTTTCTACTTGTTTCTATGAATTTTACTTTTTTTTGGGGGGGGGAGTAGCAGATTCCACATATAAGTGATATTACGCAATATTTGTCTTTCTCCAATCTGGCTTACACACTATTTTAATTTAAAAAGTCTGATTTAATGAAGACTTGACCTTAGATGCAATACAGAAAAAGAAGAGAAGAAGAGGAAGAAGAAAGAGGAGGAGGAGAAGAAGAACAGAAGAAGGAGGAGGGAGAAAGGAAGGGGGAGGAGGAGGGGGAAGAGGAGGAGGGGCTGGAGGAGGGGGAGGAGGGAGTGGAGGAGGAGGAGCCACAAACAGGAATTCTTCGTAACTATTGATCATTGTCTCCTAGTAGACGCAGGCCAGCAACACCAAACAGCATCTCAGGCCAAGCTAATGAGCAGTCAAAGAAAGCAGTCTCAGGGTTGGTCTCCAAGAGAGACCCAAACACACGGTGATGTCCTCTCCAGCAGCACCCAGGCTGCACCAACAAGAGGAAGGGGTGGATCTTAGGGGCTGAGCTCCACAGAGGCAGAGGCTGGTGCTGCGGCCTGGGCCCAGGGCCCTCCAAGAGCAGCCCTGACAACCGGGAGCACGTCCAAAGAAGGAAGGCCGGGGAGAGCAGCCTGCCTGGTGAGGGCCTGTTGGAGGAACTGCGCATGCATCCTCGGGAGTCAGGGCAATGCAATGAAAGGAACAATAGTTCCCCTCAAATCTTTGAAGAGCTGTAGTTGGGGAGAAAAAGAACTGCCCCGGGGACTTTCTGTTCTTAGGGAGCTGAAATCACCCCAGTGCAGGGAGCTCCAAGGAAGCAGCCTCACACTGATTGCTTTCACTAACTTGGGTTTTATTTTTCTCTGAAGTTATGAAAATATTTGTGCACCAAAGAATCTAATTAAAAAAAAAATAGCATGCACAGGAGCACCTGGGTGGCTCAGTGGTTGAGCATCTGCCTTTAGCTCAGGGCGTGATCCCAGGGTCATGGGATGGAGTCCCCCGTGGGCCTCCCCACAGGGAGCCTGCTTCTCCCTCCGCCTAGGTCTCTGCCTCTCTCTGTGTGTGTCTCTCATAAGTAAATAGATGGAATCTTTAAAAGAAAATAGCATGCATTACATAAATTGAGTTTTTATTTACGAAGGATGAAACATTTCCATAAGCTCCAGCTAAAAATTAATGCCGTGTTTGCTCTATGTTTTGTATTCAGAATGGCATTTTGCTCAGAAAACATGGATGGCCAACAGCTCCCCCAAACCCAGGAGAAAACCTTTGTGAGGTGCGACATAAACTCTCAAAAATTGAAAAGGAAGATCAGATGAGCTTTCATGAAGCCCCGGCGCGAAGAATAAATGATCTGATTCCTCATCTGGAATGGTTACTTTCTTTGGAAACCCAAGTTATATAAACAATCTTGCATAAAGTTTAAACAAAGTTTAGCTTTAAAGGAGGAGTGTGTTTCACTATTCTAAACTGAGCAGTTTAAAAAACTATATTATGTAACAGTATTCAAATATTGGTGTAACTAAAAATTTCCCAATTGTATCTTTGATTAAATGGTAATATATGCAAACATAAGTACCAAGAAGAGCCATTTTAAATCCACTGTCCTGAGTTAAAATGTCTTTTACAATTAAGTCAAATTTCCCATATTTCCATCCTAGTTTATTCTGATCCATTTTTTGAACCACACTGCAGAAGTACTTCTTTATGACAGAACTAATGTTTCAGTAAAATGACATTCCAGTTAATCACTAGTTGTATGTCCCCAAGTATACACATGCTTTAAGACAATTCAGCTCACTACAGGAAGAAAAATTCTAATTAATAGCTGCCATCATGCAGATTATACAATTATTTCACTGAATCCAACCCATAAAAGTAGAATTCTGCTAAAACTACGAATGGCAACATGAAAGCTGGACAGTTGGTCATGTTAACAATGAAATTACTATTGCAAGAAATACAATCTTTCTCTTCTACTGATGCTTGCAACAAAAGCTACTGGAAGTTTACCTCAAAGAGTTAGATGGCAAATTTCAAACTGTCCAATAAATGAAACGATGATGTTTGAACCAGCAAATTCCACCACAAAGCATATGAAGGAAACACTAGACATGGTCATGACTTGTGTACGTGTTTCAAGTAACTCAAGAAGAGGAAGAGCACATCGGGCGTACTATACAACCTGAGCTGGTAAAAAACAAATCCTGAAGAGATGCCCGCCTCTGATGCCTCTGATTTAAGACCACCTTGCATGATTCGCTTTTATTTCCCTTGGAAAGACCCACAAAACTAAAGACGGGGGTGGGGTAATAGGGAGGAAAAACAGCTTGGCCAATGTGGCCTCCTGTCCCGAATGCCAATCCTGCCTGCAGAAGTACCTGCCCACACTTTTGGGTCAAGTGTGTTATGTGTGTCCAGAAATGACAGTCAAATGAATGTGTCCCACTATGTCTAAAATGCTAAGATTTACAATAAGATCACATTTGCATGGATTGGGCATGTTTTATCATTAACTGAACCAGAAGGAATTTAAGGCGACACTTTTTTAAAAACAACCTGAAGACACTCTTGGCTATCCACCTGCAGAGTCAATGCACACGTATACCAGGAAGCACAGAAAGGAAAACCCGTATCAGCCTTGGAGTCGTGACAACCAGAAATAGCCCAAATGGCCACCAGTACAACGCATAAGGGAACTGGGGTATAGTCTTACAAATGGACTGTTCACCAGAGGGGACAACCATGAACCAAGGCTACACACGCTATAGGAACAGGGCCGATTCTAGGGTGAAGATACCCAGTGAGGCGCCCAGGGTTCAAAATTTAAGGGAGTGCTCGAGGGTTTGTATGTTGGCACAAAGACACAAAAAATACATCCAGTGTAATACAAGCCAAACTAAACTATATTGTTCGAGATGGATATATACGTGATAAAACTCTAAGTTGAAGGCGGTAAAACCACTGGCACAGCAGTGGCGCCGTGGGAGCTCTAGCAAGACGTGCGCCCCGGAGTCCCAGCTGCCGGCAAGACCGTGCTCCTCACTCTTGGGTGCTGGATGCTCGGTGTTCATACTTATAACCATTTTTTTTAAATGGTACATATGTATGTTATTCACTCACTCTGGGTATGAATGTCACATTTGGCAATACATTAAAAAAAAAAAAAACCAAGAAGATAGAGGGCAGAGTTAAGACCCACATTTCTTCACTAGACTGTGAATGTGTATTGATGTCAGTATTAATGTCGTTTCACACAAAACATAATTATAGAAATTATTTCATGTCTAGTAGGAACACCCGAAGTGACACAACGTCATAACATTTGGGGCAGAGAACTCCATAAGCAACCAACATGACAAATGGTTAACTGGAACGTTTGAAACTCCTCTTGGCATGGGTTATTTCCACTTGGGAAGCTGTGTTCATCGACATCCCATTTGCTGAAGCACATCTCGGGAGGGAAGTCAAATAGGGAAACTGAATAATGCAGCCACATCTGTTCATTGCACATGCAAAACGCTGGCTCGTGCGCTGATTATACGCACCTCTCTCCCCAGAATGTGTATTTATGAGCCCACTCAGGAAAGATAATGCTGGCATCCTGCCTTTCAGGCGGAAGCCCGTTTGTGCTTTTACTTCTAAGAGAGCACCAGGAACGAGCCGGAGAGCGGCGATTACACGGCAGCTGGGCTCTTGGGGGTGCGCGAAGTCAGGGAGAAGCCAACTGCTCTCCATTCATTCGCAATGCACGCGCTCTCCTCCCTTGCAAAGCTCACTGTGCCCCTGTCCACCTGGATCTGGGGGCAGAGCCGCACCCCACCTGCCGCGTGGGAGGAAAGTCAGGTGGGTGGGAGGCAGAGACAAGCCAGAGCAAGAAACACCAAGGCAGTCCCGAGAGTCGCCAGCTATCTGCTAAGTGTATAGGGTACCATGGGATCTGGTGCCCCGATCCCATGATGAACGGCCCCCCAGCACCCCATCTTTTCCAAGCTCTGCCTTCTGTTTCGCCTCCTCTCTCTTCCCGTCTCCCCTCAATCCCCTCCTCCCTGCCCAACTGCGTCCTGCCCTGTCTCCAGCCAGGCCCCTTCTTCTCCCCAGTTATTCCCTAGCTCCGCCCAGCCCTTGGCGATCTTCCCTAGTGTGTCATCCCTGTTCCTGCCTCTCTGGCTCCTGGGTGTCCTTGTCCTCTCTCTACTGTTCCAGGTCGGCTCTCCCTGGGGCTGGGCCTCCTCTGCTCTCTCATTCTCTCTCCCCAGGCAACCGCAGCCACTGTGCTGGCTTTCTCATTGACTCTGTGGGCTTTGGTGCGGGGCTCTCCCCTGATGCAACTGCCCATGCAGCAGTGCCCCGTGTCTCATAAGCCCAGAATGTTCTATGCTGTACCTCCCTACCCTCTCAAACCCATGGGTCTCCATGCCTCCTGCTCTGTGGCTCGTGAATGTCCTCACCACCCCTCAACTGCTGATGCCCGACACTGAGTATGTGTGTGTGAGTAGGAGGGGGGTCATTCATAATGTTTCCTCTCCTCTGGGCTCCCACGATCGAAGAATCACCAAACCCTTCAACACGTCTTCATCTCTGCACCGTGGCTGCCACCCGTCCAGCCCCTACCACCACTCTCCTCACTGGACACTTGCAACAACTTCCCACCTCTTCCCACTGTATCCACTCTTCTCATCACAGCAGCCAGGGTGAGCTTTGAAAAAAGGGGTGAGGGGGAGGTCGGATCCTATCATTGTCCTGGTGTTAAAGCCCTTCAAAGGAAAAAGTGCCAAATTATGACCCCAACCTCCAAGGCCTCCAGCCAAGCTGCACTCTTCCCTCCAGTCTTCTCTGGCCCTGGTTCCCTCCACCACCATCCAGCAGGTCTCAACTCAGCCTGCACATTGGAGCTGCCTTGGAACCGTTAAAAACCACCCATGGATCCACCCTAGAGATTCTCCTTTACTTAGTCTGGGCAAGGCCTAGGCATTGAGACTCCAGAGCTTTCCAGATGTTTCTAACATGCCTCGGGTTTGAGAACCAAAGTTTGAGAATGGTCGGTCCAGACACAGGGCCCCTTTTGGTTCCCTCAAAAGTGCAAAGCTCTCTCCTGCCTCTGGGCCTTCACCTGTTCTGTTGCTCACACCTCTTCTACTTCTCCCAGCTTCTTGACAGGCTTTCCTCCCAGTTTGGGTGTAACTGCATCAGGGAGAATTTAACAAGGATGATCCCGCCCCCTGCAAACTTCTATCAGTTCACCCTGTTCTACATAACTCTTAACACCCTTTCACTCTTCTGGCAAAATTGTCTGTGGCCAGGTCCTGCGGAACCATGAACAAAACGAGAAATCAGTACTACTGATCCTGTCCTTATGTAAAATTTTGATATTTTATTCATCATAGTTCTTTTTCATTCATTTTGATCTTTGACAAATATTGCCTTAAGATATTATTTATGTTGATCACTGAGTTTCTGGAGCCCCCGCCACCTCATCCTTGTCCTGGCGATTTGTGGGTCCGGTCACCCAATGTGGCACAGAGTTGCCGTCTTGCAAATACGTATTGAACTAACAAGTTGTGGGTCTTTTTAGAGGTGCATCTAGTCTTTCCGATTAAATTGTAAACTCCACCTACCAAATCTGTTCACTACAGAGTTCACGGCTTCCTCATCCCGTTCAAAAGCACAGCCAGGCTGGTGTAGGGGGTGGCTTCCCTTCCCACCTCAAAGACACTGCCATCTTTTCCGACCCACTAGCCTCCTCCCAGCCTGGCTTGGCCTCTGCTTCAGTCACTTCATTAAATGTCCTTGTGTTCCTTGACTGCATTTTCACTTTTCGTATAGGTCTATCACAAAAAGGGTTTTCTAGCCACTGAGGGCTCTCTTCATGCCAAATAAGTTAGAGTTGGGAATGACCCTAAAGATCATCTAGGGCACTGCTTCTCGAACTGTGCTGTGCACAAGGACCTTGTCCAGGCCATTTCTGACTCAGTCTGCCGTGGAACTCGAGCTCTTGCATTTCCAGCAAGCTCCCACCTGATGCCATTGCAGGTGCCACCACTGCTGGTCCCCAGGCCACACTGGATGCAGGCCAGTGTTTTCCAACCTGCTCTGATGACGTGCATCACCTGGGACCTAATGAAAATACAGCTTCCCAGCCCCCTCCTGTGAAGATTCTGCTTCAGTGGGGTGAGGACTGATCCCAAAGATTTTTATTTTTTACAAGTTTTCTGGGTAATTCTTCTCATCAGAACATTTGGGACAACACAGACCTCATCCAAAACCTTCCTCTGGGGGAGGAGGGGACCATCATACCTGTGGCTGAGCACCTGCAGTGAAGGGAGGTCCCTATCCTTGCACGGAGGAAATCTGGCTGCCCGTAATTTCCCTAATTTCCCTTCCTCTGTTTCTTCCCTGGAAGCCCTGGAGACCAAATTGATGCCTCACAGAGCCAAGGACAGTCTGTAGGAGACTGGGACCTCTTTTCTTAATTAAGATTTTATTTATTTGTTCATGAGAGAGAGGCAGAGACATAGGCAGTGGGAGAAGCAGGCTCCCTGCTGGGAGCCCAATGTGGGACTGGATCCCCGGACTGGGGATCATGCCTTGAGCCCAAGGCAGATGCTCAACCCCTGAGCCACCTGGGTTTCCTGAGACTGAGAGCGCTTAAGGGCAGATGCTATCATGTGTCCTCGGGTTTTGTTTATGTGGTTGTTTTAAATTTCTCATTTTTAAGATGTTAAAAAGCAAAGTAGAAGGAAAGCAGAGACGTATACAATCACGTCCCTGCAGGAACAGCCTCCCACATTATTCCTTTGAACATCCACAAACATGTGTACACACCTAGGGTTTTGATTGTTTGTTGTTTTCGCTGAAATAGAATCATAGGATATAGACCACTCAGCAATTTGCTTTTATTTTTTAGGTAATGATATATCATTTGTATCCCTGTAAGGCAGGAGATACAGATCTTTTCCTTATTTCTCTATAGGTAGAATTATATGTGCTAAAGAAGTTAGCACAATATTTTCTGACTCTTCTTGCTCAGGCCAGTGCCTTGTCCCTTGACCCATGTTGACAACTAGAGATGTAACTGAAATTTGTCTACAGTCATACACCCAACACACAGTCTACATTCTCATGGAGAAGGGAGATGTCACTCTTTTACAAAAATGTGATATTATAAATTCTTTTCAACAAATTGGTTTTCCTACGGTACCTCCTGAAATCTTCCTAGGTCCATTGATCCAGCTTTCATTATTTTTGATGACTGCATAATATTCTACATCATAGTACTGTCTTTATGTATTCAATTAGTCTTATACCAACGTGTCTTCACTTTGCTTCCAACTTTTTGACACCCTGAAAAATGCTGCATTTAACAGCATCATATCCTCCATCTACCTATTTAAGGGGAAATATTTCTTCTAGGAGTGGAACTGCTATATCAAGTGATCTTTTTTAAATTTAAGAGATGTTGCCGTGTTACTCTCCCAAAGCAAGAATTTGCAGCTCCACCAACAATGTATGAGTACCTATTCTCTCCCCACCTCCTTCTAGGCAGAGATATATACTGCTTATTTTTGTTTTTGCCAGTCTGATAAGTATAAATGATGATCTCATTGTTACTTTATTTTATATTTCCCTACCTGCTACTGAATTTAAGAATCCTTCCAGATGTTTATTGAATTTGTTTTCCTGTGAATTAAATGTTCTAATCTCCTTTGGTATTAGAATGCTTTTCTTTTTCTCAGCAGTTTGTAAAAACTACATGTTTAATGAAATATGTTAATCCTTTATCGTTCAGCTTCTTTGCAAATATTTTTCCAAACCTATTCCTCTATTGATTTTATAGTATTCTTTGCTATACTGTAGTTGAAATTTTTGTTTAGGTCAAAAAAGTTTAACATTTCTTTTATAACATGGATTCAATTCCCCCCAAATCACTGCTAACGTTC